ATAACACCAAAGGCTGACCTCTGGCCTCTCTCTCTCCTCTCTCTCTCTCTCTCTCTCTCTCTCTCTCTCTCTCTCCATATATATATACACATACAGGTGTACATGCACACACACACATGTCATGAAGGAGGATAGCCCATGAACAAGTATCTAGAAAGTTCAGTGTCTGGTGAGGCTTAGTCTCTGCCTCCAAGGAAAGAATAGCTCTGTCATATCTCTTATTAGTTTATTGATACCATTTGTCAATGCACAATCTACCCAGTGTTCTACCGTCTAATATCATCACCTTAGCTTTCAATGTATTAATTTGGTTTTTGTTTTTTGAGACAGGGTCTCCCTTATCTCCAACTAGCCTGGAACTCACTATATAAACCAGGCTGGCCTCCATCTCATAGAGATTGGCTTCCCTCAGCCTCCTGAGTGCTGGGATTGAGGGCATGCATCATCATGCCCAGCATTCAATGTATGAATTTTGGAGGGACACACATACCAATTCTCTCTTATCTGTAGTTTACTGTCTATCATTTAAGTTACCCATGCAATTTTGGCACAAAATATGAATGGAAAATTCTCACACTCACTGAGAATTCATACATTTAAATTTGCTATTTTGATTAGAAAGACGAAATCTTGTGCTGTCCTGTTCCATACCATCTGGGATTTGAACCACACTTTTGTCTAGTGTTACCACCCTGTACATGCTATCCACCCATGGCAGTTGAAAGACTACATTCATACATATATATTACAGTATAGTATTATAATTGTTCTGTTTTAATCTTAGTTATTGGTAATATCTTAATGTGCATAATTTACAAATTGTTCTGTTTTAATCTTAGTTATTGGTAATATCTTAATGTGTACAATTTAGAAATTGAAAGTTTATCATAAATATATGTGTGTGTATATGTGTGCATATGTGTATAAACATGCTACGTATGAAGATCAGTACAATCCATAGTTTTAGGTATTCATCAAGGGTCTTGGAATGTATCCCCTATAGATAAAGTGGGACTACTGTGCACTAAACTATAGCATAAAACTTAGTGTGTACAATCCAGTCATTCTACTCCTAAACATTCAAACAACAGAGAAGGGAAAATATGTCCAAGTAGTGACTGGTGCATAAATGTTCATAGAAATATTGTGTCTAGGATTCAAGAACAGGTAATATGACTTTGAAGCTTCATCCCTACTGGCTATCATTCACAGTGCTGAAAGGTGCTATGTGCACTACCAGGAGAGAAAAACAATCCTAAGTCTTACCCAGCTGTGAGCCCTGTGAGCTACAATAATGAGTGTCCTGGCAAGGTATGCCCCCTGGTGCAATAGTGGCACAAATGCTATTATTTGGAAATAACCAAATAATTTTGACTAGATTTAAGGCCTGCTCCACAGCAACCCATGTGTGGCTCTGTTATTGGAATCAAGAACCTGTGGTCACAGGCCCTAGGGGAGATCTTACTACTATTATGCTAAATGGACATAGTATAAAACCAACTCAATGACTTATCACTAATTATATATTAATATATAACTACATATTAATGCATCTCTCAATCCTCATCAGAGAAGCTTCCTTTTACAGTAGATGGCAACTAACACATAGACCCATACTGGTCAGCATGCAGAGAGTAAGAAACTGTGGCCTGCTCAGCAGTAAATGGGACAACTATACCATAGCCCTCACCACTCCCAGGCTCAGGCTTATCCAAAAAGAATGGGTGGAGAGACTAAGAACCAGAGGAAACAGTGTTTTCCTGACACAGCAGAGTAGTTGCGCATATGAGTCCACCACAGTTGTGACAGCATGCACAAGACTTGCTCAAGCTCAAGCCAGACAAAACCCCAGCATGGAGCGGGGAGGTGGGCACAAAGCTCCAACCCCAGCTGAGGAGCTCTTGACAACTGATAGCTGCTGGGAGAGGGAGAGTCTCTTTTCTTTAAGGGTGTGACCCCAGTAGGTCAACAGCTCTCCAGGGGATGGACTCACATCCAAGAATATTTTGGGAACACAAATTGGACTCAATGGGCTTTTTAAAAAAAGAGGTGGTTAGCCGGGCGTGATGACACATGCCTGTAGTCCCAGCACTTGGGAGGCAGAGAGAGAGAATAGGTGATGACTCTAATGTGATGGCATGCATAGAGGTCGGAGAACAACTTTTCCAGAGTTGGCTCTCTCCACCGTATTTTTAAGGCAGAGTCTCTTGTTACTCCCAAATGCAAACAGTTCCTGTTTCCACCTCCCACCTCGCCTTGAGTGCTGGGACTAGGGTTACAGATGGGAGCCACCACATGTGGATTTTTTTTTTTAATGTGGGTCCGAATCAAGCTTGAGTTGTTAAGGTGGCAAGTGCTTTTATCTGCTGAGCCATCTTACCCGCCCCTTGGAAGGGTTTTTTTTTTTTTTTTTTTGAAACCTGAAAGTCTTAATGTGAGCATATAAAATGATTTGAAGTAAATCATTGGCTTTTGAGTCATGTGAATTAGTCCTGTCTTTAAAATTAGATTTTTAACTGTCTTCAGAGCAAGAAGATAGTATTTCTCTCAAATATCTTTATATACTTGTGTTATGGTTTGGATCTGAAATGATCCTCAAAGGCTCATGTTGAAGGCTTGATCTTCATGTAGCAATCTTCAGAGGAAGGCTTTTGAGGAAGTGATTGAATCATGAGGACCCTGACCTCATCAATGAAATATTCCATTGATAGGTTCATGGTTTAATTGGCTATTGGGAGGTGACAGAAACTTAGGAGGTAAGGGGCTGGTGAGACGGTTGGTGGGTAAAGGCACTTTGTTACCAAGCTGATGACTTGAGTTTGATCCCTGGAACCCACATGGCAGAAGGAGAGAACCGATTCCTGCAAGTTGTTCTCTGACCTCCACATGTGTGCTATGGCACATGAACAGCATCACACATTTCTGTCTCTCTGTCTCTGTCTCTCACTCACACATACACATACACATACACACACACATACACATACACACATACACATAAATATCTGTTTTAACTTAGGAGGTAGACCCTCATTAAAAAGAGTGGCTCCTTATGTGTGTCTTGGGGGTTCTATCTTGTCCTTGGCTCTTTTTGCTCCCTCACTCTTTTGCTTCCTGGCCCCCAAGAGGCGAGTAGGTCTTCTCCCTCCCCTCCTCACTAAGATGCTTTGCTTCACAACAGGGACCAAGTGACCACTGATTGACAACTCTGAAACTGGGACCAACATTAATCCTTCTTCCTATAGGTTCAGGTATTCTGTCACAGTGATAGAAAAATGCCCAACACACCCTGAAAATGCCCAACTCAGGGATGACCGCTCATGCATCATACCAGCAGGGCAGAAGACTGAATGCTGAAGGATGAAATAAACTCTTCGTAGATTTGGGGCCCAAAGATTTTTATGAGGCCATTCTCATCAGGGCAAGATATTTGAAAGGATTTTCAGAAATCCTGAGTGTTACAGAACTATCACGGTGTCCATGGAGATCAAGCAAGTAACACAGCTATGTAAACGAACGGGGAGAGATAGGAGTGCTAGGTCCTAGAACCGACTTGGAAAGCACCTGCCCATTTTATAGATTTATAAATGATGTCCACACAAATACTAGTCCTCCAAGGATATCCAACCACAAAACTAACCCCTCTGTGCAGGCAGGCTGTTATAATGTGGATAGAAAGAGCTGTGGGGACTTGAGTCTCAGCTAGAAGTCAGCACTTATCTCTTTCCACTCACACAGAAGGCTTCTCTTCTTCGTTTCTATAGTGTAATTTAAGATACTGCCATCTTGGCTTTAAAAAAAAACAATCAACCATCTTGCACTTCTGATTTCTGATTACCTGCTTAAAATATCAAAGCTCTCCATTTCCAACTCTCAACCATGCTCTTCCCTCCCTGGACGTCTACATTTTTCTCAGATACATTTCCACGTCAGGTGGGGGAGTCTGATGGTTCCTCTGGCCTAGCCACTCACTGACAATGTGTCCTGTGTGCCAAAGGACTCGGTTTTCTGAGGACAAGTTAACTCTAAGGTAGACAAGCATAGGGAATAGCATAGCAACCTGGACTCCACTTGGCTTGGGCTGTCCTCTTCTTATAATGTTCTTGGTAACCTGAGACTCTTATTTGCATGAACCATGTGCACACATCCCTTTTCAAAGAATGCACCTGGCAGCCTGTAAACAACCTAGGACCCACCACTGGCATTGAGCTTGCATGCATACCCCTCTCTGAACAATGGAATAAGTTTCTCTACCCTTTATGACTATCAAACTTGGACAGTTTTTATTCAAACGGTAAGAAGGCAGGAGAACCAATCTGGCCTGAACTAGTTTTGGGTGTGTGCACAATAAGGCAAAAATGTGTCCTGTGAGTCAACTTTTAGGAAGAATCCCCTACTTACCATCTTATGTGTGTGCATAATAGGATGTGCATATGATTAAAATCAAATGCATTATGGAAAGGGACATGCACAGTAGAAGAGGTCAAAACTTCTCTTGAACCCAGTGAAAGGAAGCCCCAAATAATAATAGGGCTCTTGAGTACCTTCACTCCTGTGGCTCATTGTTACTCTTTGATCTATTTTATCATTTTGCTTTGAATAAAGTTTCATGCTCTGTTGTAAATCTGTGTGTGCTTATTTCAATGCTTTGAATAAGATGCTGAGAACCCGGAAAGGCCACGCCCAGACTCTTACCACTGCTAACAGATATAGAGTTGTGAATAAAAGAGCCAAGTCAATAGACCGGTATGGCGGGGTGGGTATGAAACAGAAATGGAGAGAAGACACAGCTTATGTGACATCTTCAGACCCAGGCGACTTAGCTCACTATACAAGCTTCTCTTAGAGAATAGAAAGCTTTGTGATGCAGTCTGGTGGCCTGATTCTATCCTCTGTGAGGTGGACATGCAAGGCCCAGCACTAGGAGCTGTTAGGCACTAGGACTCTGAATGTTTAGGACTAGGGATGGCTGATCGCCTCCTGTTAATGAGTCTTAGACCATGTTGAGCTCTATGTATTTTCTTTGGGATACTGAATATCCCTTATATGTCTATGTCTGCATCTTCATCATTATCCTAATTATCTGGCAAGTGCAACAGAATTACCATGGATTGAAGTTCGAACATAAAAGGAGCTGCTGCCAGGTAGGGAAACACTGTGACCATAACTGAACTAGTTGAGAAGTTTTCAAGTTCCAGTATCTGCCCACCTTCCACTTATGACCTCACTACCCCTACTTGCCAATTTTAATATTGTACCTTCAACTTCTTTGATATAATCCTGTTCTGCTCAGAGGCTATTTCCTTACCAGGACTTTCATGAGGCATTAATCAAGAGTCTATTATATTAAATAGAGGACTATTATTATCTTGGATCTCCCAATATGGGGGGATTTCCTCATTTATAGTCTAAAAAGTTTATAACCTGAAGTCCTTTGAATATTAGCCTTTCTAATCCTTTTGGTCTTTTAGAGACAGGATCTCCTTGTAGCCCCAGTTTGCCTAGAACTCACTATGCAAACCAGGCTAGCCTCAATCTTACAGAGAAATCCACCTGCCTCTGTCTCCCAAGTACTGGGATTAAAGGTGGTCACCACTGTGCCTAGCTCTATTCTAATTTTCAGTCCTCAGTCTCCAGTAGAATGTCACCTGGTAGTTGGATAGGAAACATAGAATATGGATCAGTTTCAAAGGCAAACAGAAGTATTTAGAGAAGGTTGGGGTGAAAAAGAAGAGGAGCATAGGAACAAAAAACATAGAAAATATAAGAAATACAGGTAACATCGAAAGGGAAAATGTATATGATCTCTGCCACATTTTGGACATGAAAAAGAAAATAGCATTACAGCCTCACTTCACATTCTAATATTTTTCTTTTTAAGCGCCATCAAAAAGTCAGGCAAAGGGCTAGAGATGCAGCATCAAGAGGTAAAGTCCCGTTATCTTTTCTGATCCCCTTCCCCTGGGACAGTTCCCCACGGTTCCTCTCTATGACCCCTGCTGCCCAGTACCAAGTGCTTTAACTGCTGAAGGCTCGAGTTCCTCTAACTGGTAATTTTCACAAAAGACCACTGTGGATGAGAAGTCAGAAAGGATGAATGTTCAAAAACAATCTGCCCTACATCCATGACAACAAAGAATGATTAAATAAGATAGATGTCCTTACCTGTGTCATTTACTAGGCTTATGACCATGTGGGATTCATTTCACCTCTAGTTTTATCCATAAAACAGACATAACATTAATGATCCTCACTCACATGGTTGTGAAGACCAAATGAAATTAGGCAGGGGACAGCACACTGTAAATGGTGATACTATATACAACGTGCGTTAGAGCACCGAGTCTGGGCTCTCAGACTCTCCTTGCTGAGCCAAAGGCTCTACTATTCAGCTTCCTATAGGGCACCCCTGAAATGCTCCTATGCCTCATAACACTGCATCCTGATTCCTCAGCTAGGAGACTCTGCCGAGAAGAAGCTGAGAAGCCGAGGGAGCTGCTCTCTATCATGAAAAGGTGACTTCTTGCTCTTTGTAATCTCCAAACTCCCAGCCTGGCCTGTGATGGCTTCTTGACCTTGTCTGGGCCAGGGGTGAGGAAAGGCATAACAGTTGGGAGAGACGCGCTGTGGAGACAGGTTCACTAGCTGAGAGGGCTTATGTCTCTTAGGAGGGAAGGGCCACCCAATTATTCTACATGTTAGGGTTCCAATAGTTCTGCAATTCAGAATTAACTAGTAAATGATTTGTGAAAGACATTACTGGAGTTGCACTCAGACATGAGACAAATTGTCCAGTCAAGAGAGTGGATGTGACATAAAGAAGCCATCACTGTCGTATCCTCTTACAATTACCTCCTTTCAAGGGCAGAGCCCTGGGTCTGGCTGGGCTCTGCTAATTTACTTCCTGTGGTCTTCAGGGAGGCCAGTTCCTGGGGCACCTTCACCCTATCATCCTATCCTCTCCTTAAAATGTCTAGAGAATGTGACTGATTCCCAAGAGATGCTGGATATGGTAGCAAGCACATTCCATTCTTAGAGTCAAGAGTTCCTCCATGGACCTCATTTTCCACAGTGTAGACTCAGGACTTCTAGGACTGGGGGAAAGGGAGCAGCAATCTCAGGCCACACTCTTCCAAGGAGACAGATGCCACTCCATCATTAATGGTTACTATTTTTCTCTTCCCAGCCAAAGCTGGCTCCCCAAGAAGGAAAGTGTACGGCAGCTCCTGTGTATAGATCCCTGTTGTCAAATCTGTAATACTGCAGCTTTGGAGATTCAGCAATTGCTGGAGAGTGAGAAAAGTCAGATCTCCTCTGCTTTACTGGGACTGTCACAGGGCTCTTCTTGCCTGGAGATGTTGTCCACATCAAGTGCATCTTTTGAGCAGAATATGGAGCTTTATTCCAGGCACCCCACAGACTTTTCAGTGGTACCTGTCACCGCAACCCTACCACAACCAACAGGACACTTGACACAGTCGACCAACGCAGTCAATGTCCAAGAACACTGGGATGATCACCTCCAGTTAGGACCAGAACTGTCAGACATACCTGTGGTCTCAGAGACTATGGTCTCTTCTAGGCCTGAGGAGCCTGCGGTTTTAGTGAATGAGGAGATAATACACAGCAACCTAAACTTTGTCCAGGAGGACCGAAATCAGCAGTCCTTGAACTCACAGGTCCCTTTTCAAACCCTGAACCCAGAAAGCAGTCACTTCACACATCCCATGACTCTGTCTATTGTCAGCACTTCCCACCAGCCATTCCTCAGTCCTGAAGTTTTAAGGTTTCTTGAACTACATGTGAAAAAATGGTTGCATTTCCAGAGGTGGGGGCTCCCTAGACGTGTAGAGGAGTCCATAAGGCAATTTATGCCAAACCCACCAATGTATTGCCAGCCTGAAGATAACCAGCCAATTTCTCTTACCCTGAATAATACTTCTCAAGACCATGTGCATAGGTTTGGGCACTCATATATGGACAGCCAACTAACCCAAACTTTTTGGGTTTCTGAATGGCCTCTTATACATCCAGACCAAAGAATACACTGCAAACAAATCCCAAGCCTAATGGGACCATCCTTGATCAATCATAAAGTCCTAAATGGCCTCTCTTCACTGTTTGAGAGACAAACTAGTGACTCAGAAAATAATTTTCAGAAGAAATTCACCCAGTTATTCTGTGGTCTTCCTTCTCTGCACAGTGAGTCTCTGGATGCCACTTCCCAGGGCTCTCAAGGTCTCTCCAAGAACAAGAACATGTCCAAGGCCACCTCGAAGGATCCCCATCTCTTAAAGGAGCTGTCACGCCTCCCCTTGCTACCCCACACTCCACATAAAGCAGCTCCACCCTCATCCTCAACTTCTCCAAATGGTGAGTCTCTGTATGAACATCAAGGAACTCAGATCAGTGTCCCATTTCTGACTCCAGCTGAGCGTAAAGCCTTGGAATGGCACATCCTACAAAGGCAGCCTCAGCTTCAGTGGGGCTTGCCAGATGTCATCTCAGGATCTCACCATGTGCAAAGCCACATGTACTCTGAGACATGTCAAAAAGCCCAGTCACCTAAGCCTGTCAAAGCCTCCTGGCCAGGGAGGTCCTTCTCAGTTCCGACCAAAAACCTTGTCTTCTTCCCAGAGCACACACGCAGGCTGCTGGAATGCCACCTCCAGAAGCAGTTGATGCACCTTCGCTGGGGCCTGCCCCAGAAGATCCAACGATCTATTCAGTTGTTCCTTTCCTCTACTGACCAGCAGCCCCTGCCCTGCAACAACAGAGCCCTACCCAATATGAGCATCTCACAGCCAGAGGGCCTAAAGGCTAACGGGTTCTCACCCATAGTAGGCAAAGGATCAATCGCAAAGCCACACTTGTTTTCCCAGGCCAAGTCAATATTGAAGAGCCATATTGACTCCAAGTGTGGACAGATCCGCCAGGTCAAGGTCCCAGACTGTGTCCAGAGATCCTGGGAATGCAGAATTCCAGGGAGTCCCGTCCCATATATTCCACCAGACAAACCCCTGGAGCTGCAGAAAGAAAGTAACCCCAATCTGCATCACAAAGTTATCCCAGGGATACCAAAGGCCCTGGACCAGGAGAAGCAGGCCCTCCCAGGTGCTGTCATTGAACACTGCAAGCAGCCCAAATCTTTGTCTGAGGAAACCATTAAGAAACTGGAGACAATTTTACAGCACAAGTATCTGGCCTTCCTGTCAGGCCTGTCTGCTTTTGACTGTGTGGTTCCCTCTAGGGTCATGTCCCCAGAAGTTCCTATCCAGTCTGAAATCACAGAGACTATGCCTGGACCTATCAACAGCCCCCAGGAACCTCTGACTCAGACCTCACTAAACAGACTTAGGCCACACATTCAGGATGACAAAAAGACTTCTGAGGACACTGTAAAAGAGTTCCCGCCTGAAAGAAAGGTGGAAGGAGTGACGGAGAAGACGCCCCTGAAGAGCCAGGTGCTTTCCGCCAGCCCCTACTCAAACACATATATCTTGGCCAAACTGAATTTCCACCTGAAAAAAAAGGTCCTAGAGATAAAGTTTGGAATTCCCATGAAGTCAAGGAAGTTCAAAAAGGCAACTGCAGCAGACCCAGAGAATAAATTCAAGCAGGAGTCTCCTGGGAATCTGAACAATCAGGGAAGCACAGTGCTACAGAAACTGCCCATCTCACAGGTCTCTCCTGCCCAAGATGCGAAGTGGGTTCACCTTAAAAAGCATCTGGCAACTGAAGGGCAGGCTGTGCACCACAACCCAAAGCAAGCTTGTTCCAAATCAGCCCCCCATGGCTCTTCCCAGAGGGGCTCCATGATCCCACAATTCAGCAAGGATTTGACAGAGGCCCAAGTGCTTTGTGTTCAGGTGGAGACCAGTGGGGAAAGCCCCAGCCTAGAGGAACCCTTCAGCACTGGGGCCCAAAGCCCAGACAATAGCAAGTGCTTAAGCCATGTCCCCACACTAATAGAAAAGAGAGAAGTCCCGAGAAAACCCAAGGCAGCAGGAAACCTTGGAGAAGGGGATGCAGGTCTTGGGCTTTCCCCAACAAATGGAAAAAGGCACCATATTGGAGATCAGAGTCCAGAAAGGAAGTCTCTGGACAGGCCACTCCAAGGCTCCTGGAAACAGAGGCCTAGCTTTCATCTTGTGGATCCCTGTCTACACAGCCCCTATCATCCTCCTCAGCTTAAGTTCCCATCTCTACCTCTAGGAGGCCCTGGGGGGAAAGAATCTGAGTGTGACACACAAGACAGTGAAGCCAAGGTAAATGTCATCCTCAGACCTGCAAGGATTCCTGAGATCACCCAGCCTATGGTCTCCCAGGCTTCCCAGGACCATCCTTTATTGGGCCCACCAAATCAGGGTAGGTTTTTGTGGGGTCAGACTTTTCGAGATCAAGTTTTACAGGCGCCAGTGATGCCAACTTCTCACAAATCCAGTCTTCCAGAGTCTGGCTTGAGAAATAAGATGAAATCCTTTCTTCACTCTATTAACCCAAAAATGAAAGGTAAAAGATACATGGAATACAAGATTTCCACAGCAGGAAATGTAGTCAAAACGAATAAAAATGTTGAAAAGGGTCTGGCTCAAGCCAAAAGCCTCACCGAGAAAACTAAGACAGAGCCCTCAAGAGGGCCCAAGCCCCAGCAGTTTGCGCCCTCTAAGAATGCAGTGGGCACAGCCGTCTTACCCTGTCCAACAAGACAAGACAACAAGCTCTGGCTACAGTGTCGACAGCAGGGCTCTGCTTCAGCACCAGGTTATACCCACCATTGCCCTCTGCACTGTCCCCGATTGGCTTAAGCCATCCAACATGGAAACCCTACGTAGTTCTAATGTTCACCTCAGAAACAACATCCTTTCAATGAAGAACACTCCAGGTGATGACCGTCTCTAGGCTCCCCAACCACTGTACCCCTTTAAAAGCACTATTATTCTCATTTTCTTTAATGGTGGGTGGGCAGAGCGCCACCCAAAATATATTCTAGAACTAAGCAAAGTGTTGTCTGTTTTTTCTTGATCCCTGCTGTACGTTATTATGGGAAGGTATAAAGGAAGCCCAAAAGTCCATCCCATTTAGGGAAGGAGGTTTAGACCAAAATTCATATGACTTAAAAAAATTTTATTGGGTTTTGGGAATTTCATACAATAGTTCTTAATCAAATTTAGACTCCTCTCCCCCATCCATGCTCCTATAACCTCTCACACATACCAGACCTCATGTATTCTGCCATATATGTTAAGTCTTACCTGGTTAAGCATTTGTACCCAGATGTCCTTTCGTGCAAGTTTATCCACTGGAGCCTAGTCAGCCTATCTAGAGATCTTAAGGAAGGTCAACTCTCCCTCCCCCAGCAGTAATCAGTTGCCAACAGTTCCCAGGCTAGGGCCTGCCCACTGCCCATTTCCCTCACTCCAAGCTTGGCCCTTGTCTGATTGAGTCAGCATGGGTCATATGCACGATATCACCATTGCCACAAGTCACATAAGCAATCTTCCAGTGGCCTGAAAGCCTGCTTCCCTATGTTCATGGGCCAATCTTGGCTCTTACAATCCCTCCATCCCCTTTTCTGCAATGATCCCAGAGTCATGGGTGGGCAAGGACCAATACAGGAGTCCCACCCAGGGACACACACTCTGCAGTCTCCCATTATCTAAAATTTAGCCAGTTGTGGCCTTTTGTGTGCACCACACTCTGCTACACAAGGCTGGTGAGAGCCAAGGGATGCACTAATATTCTCTCTACCCCCTGTTCCACTATGTTCCATGAGCCTTAGGTGCAGAGGTTCCACTGTAGAAATGTCACCTAGGGCTGGACATCTGTCAGTCATATAGTCTCTGTGTGTGACCAGTTGTGGCACTCTGTAATAGCCTCCATCTGTTGCTTTGATGAGTGGTATACAGTACCCATCTATAAACATAAGGATCCATATTTAACATATGGTGAGAAATTTCATTTGTCTAGAGATATAACAGAAATAGGGTTTTCTCTAGGATGTATGACCTCTCCAGTCATGTATATTTGGCTATAATTACAGTGCTACCCGTGAATTCCCTCCCATTGAACATGGCTTTTTAAAACTATTTGTATTTTTCTTTTTTTATATGTGTGAGTGTATTGCCTGCATGTATATAAGTGCACCCATGTCATGCAATGCCTGTGGAGGTCAGAAGAGGGTGTTGGATCCCCAGTTACTGGAGTTATGGATGGTTGTTAGTCACCATGTGGCTGCTGGGAACTGAACCCAGAGCCTTTGCAAGAGCAGCCAGTACTCTTAACCGCTGAGTCACCTGTCCAGCCTTCACATGGCTTGTTTTAGAGAAGTGCCATTAGTGGACCTTTCTTCATGGAACATTTTTACATTCATCAAAAACAACCAATTAAAAAGAAAATATACATAGCTTATATGACAGATGTCAAAACTGAGTGACAGAATTCCCTTCTTTGTCCCATCAGTATTAGGACTATGTTTCTAGGAAACCCATCTGGAAGCTACTGTAACCCTTCTGCTGTTTCTCATCACTGCTGCAGAGGCACAGCATAGGTGCCTCCTGGAATGAGGGTCACAGGAATGGAGGAGCTACTCTGAGTGATGAGGTAGGAAGGGAGGAGCACATAGACGGAGCTCTTGTACTCGGGACAAAGCTGTTATGTTCCCGTTTCGTGCATGATAAGGAACAAAAGCTTGATTTATCACTAAAGCAAATCTAAGCTGGAAAGCAAATCCAAAACCCACCTGTTTGGGGATAGGAGCATTAAAGTTTCTTGGAGAAGAACCACAGCACCAGAAGTTTTCTAAACAAATTTGTGCCAGTCAAGTGTTTGATGGCCAATAGTTTATATCCAGGCCTGCTACCGTATTTCTATATCACATAGAGTTCGGTCTTTCTAGTCCAACTTTTCCACCACCCTTACCCTTCTAATATACTTTCATAGTAGGTAATGGTGCTGCTGTTCATCAGCTAAATTCCCTCCCAGGATCTGCGTGGTAACTTCCAATCAGAGGATGATTCCTGTACTTTCTGCCACCAAGGACTGCCTCACATAAGCCTGACAGCATCAGCCCTAGCTTTCTGTATTTTTCTATCTCTTCATTATGTTCCACTGCATTTCGGGAAGCACCTACATCCTTTACCTAGACTGTCAAAAGAGATTTAGAACACTTTTGGAAAGAGTCCAATCTACTTATGTCACAAAAACCGACCCCAAATCTAGTATTTAATGGCATACGTAAGTCTACAACCAGATCAGATTTCTGGTCCCTTTGCACCTTTTGCTGTGAATGCCCATTATTAAGTTATTTCAGGGAAATATCTGTTTATTACTAATGAAAATGTTATGTTCAATTCTGTGAAATATTTGTAATGAAGTAAAGAAATCCCAAAAGAGTCTGGAAGACAAGTTGAGAAAGACTGTAAGTAGTTAAGAAATGAAAGCTCCTCCAAACTATATTTTGTCCACATTCTCCCTCACAGGCTACATGAAGTTTCTCCAACAGGCCCAGAAGGCTTCACAAACATCCTGGTACACTGAGACACTCCTAGAACTCTTTTCTGGCTATCTTCCTTGCTATCCACCCTGACAGCCTATATTCCACCCCCTTCTACCCACATCACTGAGTGGGTGATTTGCCACAGCGGCAGCCTTGGTTGTCCTGGACACAGAGACCTCTTCCCAATGGCTATTATAAGCACATTCCCTTGAACCTCTAAGGACAGCAACCTTGTTTTCTTTCTCTAGCTACCTGGGCTGGTGCACATGTTGGTCTCCTTGGAGAGAAGACTAGAACCACTAAGTTGTTAAGGAAACCAGCTATCACAGCATAGTTCAAGGCTATGTTTGCATTATAAAGTGTTGGGGACCTCTGTTATGCAAAGTAGAAGTCCCTTCACGTCTGGACAGTTCATGCAGCTCGGGATTATGTGCTGGGGCTCCTTTCATAGCAGGGTGCCTTCCTGGCATCTTTCCTGACTCTCCTTTGAAGTGCCCGCCACAATGCTCTAAACACAAACATGGCCTCTGGCTTTAGGAATACCATGCTTTCCTGTGATTTTTCAGGCAGACAGCAGTCTGGCAGAAACCCACTTCCATATGTAAATACAATGTCTCACAAAGTACCTAACAGCCAAAGCTTTTACCACTACCCCCATGATATAAATATCCTAGTCTTCTCTCAATATTTGGACTTAGAAGCAGACTTGGAGCTAGAAGCAGACTTAGAGCTAGAGCGAGAACTGGGTCACTGAGACTTGGAATAAAGAGCTGTAGCTTGAGTTCTGTGTCTCCTGCCTGTAATCTAGCCTCCCCGGGGGGCAGCACTCCCTCGTTACCGACTTGCGGACATTCCTAGCTTTCGCTGTCTTCGTACTCTTCCCGCGTGGTTCAGTGGCCAGTGGACCTCGCATCCTGAGGAAAGTACACGGGTGGAAAAGGGACAGGATTCGGCTGGACAACGCTCCAGTAGCAGAGAAACTTTCAGCACCAGAGAGCCCGCGCCACGACTAGCCAGGTGTGGCAGGGACCCCGAGATACCCGCACACACCACGCCTGGGGCACAGAGCACCCCCTATATCTGGCGCCCAACGTGGGGCTTCTGAACCTCGTGGGACCCTCTGAACCTCGTGGGACCCTCTGAACCTCGTGGGACCCTCTGAACCTCGTGCCACAACGTAAGAGCCTCTGAACTTCGTGCCAGCTAGGAGCTGGTGCCCACAAAAACGCTAGATCCGTAAGTATCCCTCCCACTCAGGAAGGTAATCTAATCTCTTCCTCTCTTCTAAATTTCCTCCTTTTCTTTTCCAGTCTAAAAGTCCTCACGAGGGACCGCTAGGGCCAGAGAGACAACTGAGGTTTTCTGGCCAGGGCTACCCCCTGGTGTTAACTAAAGGTCTCTCTGACCCCCTAGGGAACCCCGACTGCCTATACAGGTGTAGACAAAGACCTCTATCTAGACATCTCCTTAATATCATACCTGGTGATGCATCGGCCAATTAAAAACCATTAGGGTGGCCGCCAGCCTCTCAAATTTGCGGGCAGGTCTTGTGACTGGGGACCACTGTGATCCCCTAAAATTTTGATTTCAAGAACGTCCCTTTGAAAACCGTCACTTCATCCCACTTTTCTATCTAAACACTGCTAGAAAAAATCCCTAAAGTTCTAAGCTTTAGAGTCAGACAGATCCCTCTACCCTGCCCCCAAGCATTCAAGCAACAGCTGAAACCAGTTCAGTGAAAATTCAAATTAGCTAACCCCTGCCGAGCAGCCAGCAGCTCTCAGACAAAAAATTTAAAACTACAACTTTTTTTCCTGCAAAGGCGCTTCAGCCCTCTAGTGTCCGATTGCTGTAAAAACATCTAAAAACAAAACAAAACAAAATCTTCCCCTTACAATAAAAAGCTCTGTATCACTACAGAAAAAGCGCCAAATTCATTCTCTAAAAACTCTACTCAAATCCAGAAAACTTAAAATTTCAAAAAAAAAGCTTAAAATTTTAAAATAAAGTATACCAATTTACACATTAAATCTTATCAGCAGACATATCTAATCCAGAGGTTTAAAACTTTCTTTCACATTTAGCTTATAAAAAAAAAAAACCCAAAAAACATGATATTCCTAAAGCCAAAGGGCATATTTATGTTTAAAACATTGTGACAAACTCTTCAAAAAAAAGTCAAAAAAAATGCCAAAAAGACACCCTACTATAAAAAAAACCCAACACATAATCCCAAACTACATAAGCTGTCCAGACGTAAAGAAACTTCTACTTTACATAACAAAAGTCCCCAACAATAAAGTAAAACAT